GCTGAAGAGACCAGCCGCTCCTCTGTCCTAAAGGAAGGCACAGTGGGTCCTGTGGGCCTGAGGGAAGCCCTGGTCGGATGCACAGAGCAAAGCCAGGACCCCAGGTTAGCGCTCACTCCATCCACCATGTGCCTTGCACGAGTCCGGAGACTGTAATTTGGGGGAGTGGCTGATCTAAGAGGGGGCGACCACAGTGGGAAATCCAAAGAAACATCACCCCCTCTAGATCCCACAAATCCACATATCCTGTTGTCCTCGAAGGATGCTGAGCGTTAGATACACAGCTGTCAGCTCAGAGTCGACAACCACTTATCCAGAGTTGTGCTGGGGGAAAGCGAGGAGGAAAAGGAGCCCCAGCAGCCACCACCACTCTCTGTCTTCCCAGCCATGCCCCCTCCAGCCCACAGTCCTCCTCCCTCGGTCAGCTGTGCTGTCACCATCAACCAGGGCTCCTCGCTACCTCAGCGGCCAGGGAGCGGCTATTTCCGGAGGGTGCTGACCCTCATCTCCTCACCCGCGTGTGGTAAGGTGCCTGATCTGAAGCACCCACATCGCTCCAGGGCTGCGCTGGGTGAGGGGAGCGTGCAGAAACACATCCTCCTCAGCTATTATTGGCAACAAAGAACTAGTTATTTGCTTTTTCTTTCTCCCTTCACCTCCCGGAGCCTTTTCCCTCACCAAAGTGGCTAAACCAGAATCTCTGAGGAGATGCTTATCTTCAGGAGCTGCTTTTGTTTCTGAAATGAATTCCAATTGGCCTACTTGGTCTGTCCGTCAGTCCATGTCCATGGACCTGCTTCCTCCCTAACCTGGGCATGTGGATTTTTTTTTTAAGTTTGCTTTTACATATTCACGGCCTAGTATAAAAAATATGCCCCATGGTCATTTATTTTGTTTGGATGAGGGCTTCTTCCCCCTTAAAAGGGGCATTAACTGCATAAACATGTACTTTTTTTTTTTTTTTAAACATGTACTTAAAGTGGAAACAAAGCTCCATCTGACCCTCCTAGGAGGCTGGCACTCACCCTTCACAGGGACACCTGCTTCTCAGGAGCAGGAGTTGGGAGGGATCTGGAGGGTACACGTGGCTGTGTTTTGGGGGACGAGGTGGAAACGTCTCTGGGTGACAGGTGTATTGTGTGTGTGTGCGCGCGCACAGGCGCAGAGGGACTAGAATTTAGACTGTGGGCGTGTGTGATTTGTGTGGGCCGAGGGATCTGGGCCAGTGAACGGAATCTGCATTTGAGGGGGGAGGCCTGGTGTGTGAGATGACTCACATCTTTCAGGCTGTGGGAGGGTTTATTTGTGGGGGCAACTTTGGTCCGAGGGGTCCTGTGTACACGGCACCAGGAGGAAATATTTACCTGTGCGGAGTCCAGCGAGTGGAGAAGGGGCCATGCAGTGCCAGCAAGGCTGGAGGGAGCAGCTGGGTGTGCACCTGTGCCTTTGCCTACAACTCCGGGCTGCCGCGCCCCAAGAAGAAGCGGGGTGCGGAGGAAGAGGAAGGAACGAGGAGGTCGTTTTGCACAAGGGAGTTTAGAGAACGTGTTCCACACAAAAGCACAGGCTCTGGAATCACCGTCCTGAGCGCGAATCCTGGTGCTGCCTGGCACCCGCCAGTCAGGTCTTCTGCCCTCTCTGTGAGCCTCCGCTTCCCAATGTGGGAAAATGGGAGAAATAAGAAAACTAACCCCACAGAGGTACGGGAATTAAGTGCTAGAATCCATGCAAGCACGTGCCCCACACCTGACACACAGTACCTGTTTAATAAGTGTTTGATGTTGCCATTTATCATCATTATCACCATGATCACACCTGGCTATTGGCTCCAGTAATGATCATTGTAAGTGGCATTCATTGCACGTGTACCGTGAGAGCAGAATAGTGGTAAGTAATGATGAAAGCTTACTAGGAACCTAGCACAGCAGTGCACGCACCTCAATCAATCCCCACCTGCTTTACAGATGTTATCAGTCCTTCGTACAGATGAAGAGATAGAGGCTCAGAGAAGTTCAAGAACTTGCCCAAGGTCACAAAGCCTAAGGGTTGCAACTCCAAAGCATATGCTCCTGTGGGGCCCGGCCCCTGCAGTCTCCCCATCTCCAAGGTGTCCCCCCAACAGACAGACCCTGGAAGTCACTGGGCTCACTTGGGCAGAAAGCGTGTGCCTTGCACTCGGGGGGAGGATGAACCCAGAGGAGGAGGAGTTGGCAGAGGCGGCCCCAGTTGAAATGGAGTCCATACCAATTCCAGCCAAATGTAGAATACATTTGCCATTTCTGCATTATTCATGAAAATCCCCGTTTCCCAAAGTCAGCACTGCGAGCTGGGCTGATGCCTGCCCAATCTCCCCACCCCTTGTGCAAGGGAAAAGTCGGACCGGAGTCAGGACCATGAACTCCGTGAGGGCTCTGCTTGCCCTCCCCAAAGCATGAGCCGCCACACCCACCAGCTGAGCGGGGACACACGGGACATCCAGACCCACAGCTGCAACACCCCACTTTGGTTCTGCTTGCCTGATGGGCTGCTGCAGGGCACACATTCTCAACAGTCACTTCCTTCCTGAGGATAAGCACGGACCATTGTCGCAGAAAGGTGGCCCCAGATGTCCAGCCTGATTATCCCAGGCCGGAAGGGTCAATTCAATTTTCCATCATGCCATGTTACCAACCGACAGGGAGCAGTCAGCTCCCGCGCCCAGTGCCTGTAAGCCTACCCTGGTTGGCCTACAGGTGGTGTGATGTGGGGGGGTGGGGGCTCCACTCTGGACAAATCCAAGTTCCAACCATGACTCTGCCACCGTGGGTGGGGGGCTCTGGCCTGTCCCACGGGCTCCTGGGTCTCTCCGGCCTCATCTGTAAACTGGACATGGTCCCCCTCTCTCCACCATGGGAGGGCCCAAGCAGGGCAATGTAGAAGGCAATGTGCTTTGGGGAGCAGAAGGCTATGTAGCTGCTTGGATGGGGGATAGGGACCCGAGAACATCAATCCACAGAAGGAAGCATTTCTCACATCAACATATCAGACCCTAAACTCATGGCCAGCCACAGAATCAGGTCTCTTCCCTCCATTAGCACAAAGGAATTCCTACCCTTCCCTCTAAAATGGAAGCTCTCTGAGGACAACAACTTTTGTCTGTTTTGCTCACTGCTGGTTTCCCAGAACCCAGAGCACCTGCTCATAGCAGGCACTCAGTAAGTATCTGTTGAACAAAGGAGAGATTTCTGCAGGCCACCCAAGGTGTCCGGGAAGGTGGACAGCCTGGAGGGCTAGACCTCACTCTTAGATATTCTGGGGACTTCCACAGGGACAGGGGCCTGCCTCCTTTCTCCCTGGGCTCCCACATGAGACCGCGAAGCTGCTCTCCTGGCTCAGGCACAGCTGGCAGCACCTCTGGAGGGACAGATCCGCAGAGCAGCACAGCCAGAGCCCCCAGGGTGACAACTACCCTTGGGCTCCCGAGGAGCCCAGCTGGGAGCGCCAGGCTGCTGAGTCGCCCACCTCAGCCACCCACATCTGCTGCCCGAGCCTCGCTGTGTGCGCGCGCACACACACACGCACCGCCTAAAACCCAGAGAGTCTGCTCAGTTGAGCCCCTGCGCGCCAGGGTCAGGGATGCTCTCCAACCTGCTCCATGAAAACAACAACAGCACAGAAGAGGCCGCCTGGGACAGGGCCGGGCACGGCGTTGATAGGCAGGAGCATTATATAATTAACTGCCCCCCACGCCTCCTCTCCTTTGAGTAATAATGAACCTGCCTCTCAGTTGCATAAGCCAAAATAATAATTACTCTCCAGCCCTCCATCAGTCCTGGATGTGGCCGGGGAGCAGGTGTTTAGTGCCTGCTTCATGAGACGTGGAGGCAGCAAGCAGGCAAGGAGAAGACCACACGTACGTTCATGATCTCCATGCCCAGCAGAAGCACACAAGTCATTGCTGTGCCCCATGCTTTTCCCAGGCATCCATGCCTGACAAATTACCAAGAGGGAGTCACAGAGCCACTTCTGAGGATAAGCTCCCAGATGGGGGGCAGGGGGCATCTAGAGAGTGGGCTTGTTTGGGGTCTGGCTTCCAGGAACAGTAAATGCTCCATGCCTCTCCGATGCACGGAGAAGTGGACACGGGAGTGTCCAGGACAAGTGGGCAGCTGCAAAGCGGGCCAAGGCTCCCTGCACAGAAACCATCTTGCAGCCAGGGCAGGCAAGCAGGCAGGCTCAGCCCTGAATGTGGTGGCATGCTAGAATGAAGGCACAGAGCATTCCCTAAACTACCGGTGAAAATGATTCAGCCACTGGAAGGCAAGATTCCTGGGCTCTCGCTAAACAGATGGGCCTCCTCCTCCCTCCCTCTAGCAGCCTCTCTGGCTGCGCTAGCCCGCGTCCAACCACCTAGAAGTTTATTGCCGTGTTGTGTTGCTTTGGGTTTGTGCTCCTCTCCCAATCACTCCCTTTCCATTGGCTTGGGTTGATCAGGACTAAGGGAGGCCCTTCGGCACCGCAGGAAAACAAGCAGAGCTGGGGCCTGACTTCTGGAGGCCCAGCACCAAGGGAGCTCTGCCAACACGGGCCGGGGTGGGGGGGGAGGGGGGCTCTCCCAGCTCCCCTCCACCCTTGGTGGGTCCCAGATGAGGCCCTGGGCTCAGGGCCTGGGGCTCAGCCTGGCCTTTCCAGCAGGTCTCTGGCCTGCGCTTGGATGATGCACTGACACTGCTCAGCCCCACGGCTCTGGGCCTGGCTCTGCTCCTGGAAAGCCCCCAACAATCGTCAGCTGGCACAGGGGTGCTGTCCCCCACCAGGCAGTGGGGCAACCTGTAGCCAGGGCAGCTATGGCCTCCAGGGAGCCCCAGGAAATGCCCCAGGTGCGCACGGCCCCACTGGAGGGAGAAGCTCAACTTCCCCAGAGGTAAACAGAAGAGGCCGAGGAGAAGGTCCCTCCTCCGCCCAGCCCCCTGCCCTGCCCTGCCCTGCCCTGCGCGGGGGCCACCGCCAGCGGCACCTACCTCCGTCAGAGTATGTCTCCGTGCCGTAGCCGTCCTGCAGCCCGTTGCTCCAGGTGCCTTCGTACTTGGCCCCGTTGCCCGTGCACTCCCGCACCCCGTAGCGCCCCTTAAATCCGTGCGTCCACTCGCCCTTGTACACCCACTTCCCCTTGCTCTCCAGGCCGATGCCGTGGCGCTTGCCCTGCGCCCAAGTGCCCTGGTACGTGTTGCCGCTGGGCCAGGTGTAGACGCCCAGCACCTCGAAGCCGTGGCTCCACGAGCCTGTGTATTCGCCTTGGCCCTTGGGACCGGTGCAGACGCCATGGCCGTGCGCCTTGCCGTCCTCCCAGCCTCCACAGTAGGACCCTCCATCGTCAAAATTAAACCTACCCCCACTGGACATGCATGTAACTCGGTTTGCAAATCCCGCAAACGGTGAAAAAAAAAAAAAAAAAACCAAGGCGATCAACAAACCGGATTCTTGGTTGGCTGGCTGGCTGGTTTTGTTTTGCCTTTTTTTTTTTTTTTTTTTTTTTTTTTTTTTTTTTTAAGGAAGAATGGAGAAAGCAAACACCACAGCGAGCAGATCCCGGGCGGCGGGCGGCCGCGGCGCCGGCTTCGGCGGAATTTAAGTCAATTGGGGGCGATTCTTCCTTTTCGAGCTGCGCCGCGGAGCCTGACCAGCGTCTCGCGCTCCCGCTGGAGACAGGACCGGAGGGGAGGAGGGAGGGGGAGGGGAGGGGAGGGGGAGGGAGGGGGCAGGAGCAGGAGCGTCTGGTGCAAACGGCTCCACCTCAGCGGCAAGTGCCCCTCGGAGGCGAGCCCGCCGGGCTGGCCGCGCAGGCCGGGGCGGGGACGGCGGGCGGCTCAGGCCCGGGGCGCAGCCCCCCACCTGCGGCTGCCGCGCTGCGGGCGCCCGAGGGCGGCGGCGGGGCCCGCGGGCGGCGGCGGCACGGGCGGCGGCGCGGGCGGCTGCACCATATTGGGGGCCGCGGACCGGGCCGGGCGGCGGCGGCAGCAGCAATGCGGCGGGGCGGGCGGCGGCGGCGGCGGCGGCGGCGGCGGCGTGCGCTCCGGGCCCGGCTCGCGCGCTCGGGGAGGCGCGGCGCGCGCCCGCACCCACCCGCGCCCCCCCGCGCCCCCGGCCTGCGCGCCCGCACCCACCCGCGCCCCCCCGCGCCCCCGGCCTGCGCGCCCGCACCCACCCCCGCCCCCCCGCGCCCCCGGCCTGCGCGCCCGCACCCACCCGCGCCCCCGGCCTGCGCGCCCGCACCCACCCGCGCCCCTGGCCTGCGCGCCCGCACCCCCCCTCCCGCGCCCCCGGCCTGCGCGCCCCGCGTCCCCCGCGCCCCCCCCCCCCGCGCCTCCGGTCTGCGCGCCCGCGCCCCCCGCCCCCCCCCCCCCCCGCGCCCCCGGCCTGCGCGCCCGCACCGCCCCCCCCCCGCGCCCGCGCCCCCCACGCCCACCCGCGCCCCCGGCCTCGCGCGGCCCCTGCGCGCCCCCGAGCCCACCCTCCGCTCCCGCGAGTCCCTTCCCGCCCCCCGGCTCAGCCCCTCACCCGCCCGCGCGACTCCCACGCGCGCGCCCCCGCGCCGGCTTCCCGCCCCACCCGCCCCACCCAGACCCGCGCGCGCCCGAACCAGCCCCCGGGCCCCGCTGCCCCTCCCGGCGCAGAGCGCAGGGTGGAGGGTGGAGGGCGCGGGGCGCGGGCTGGGACCCCGGGCGCCCGCACCCCCGCACCCCCGCACCCCCACGCGGCGCTCCCGCCCGCCCGGCTTTTCCTCTGCCGGGGCTGGCCTGGAAATAGGGGTCCAGACGGGTCGCCCCCGCCCCCCTTTCCCGGGACTCAGATTTAAAGGGACAGGAACTGCGTAACGGGAAGGCGCCCAGCACCCAGGGCGCCTTCCTCCCCCTCCCGGGAGCCGCGGGGTGAAGCCTGGCGGAGCAGGCCCCGGGTGTCCTGGGGCGCCCCTCGTGTTTGCTCTCTCCCACCCTGCGCCTCGCCTCTGGCGCCCAGCACCTGTCCCTGGCCTGCCTGGAGAGGCTCTTGGCAGACCACAGGTGGTTTTCCCCAGGACAGATAATCCATCCTTCTTCCTTACGGGGCCGTTTGAGGTCTACATGGAGGAGGAAGGGGGGCAATCACCTCAGAAAACATGTAGTTGGTAAATGTCCCCTCACCGCCAATTAACAAAGTCCGGCCACACACACCTGCTTTGGAGTAAAGATACCCAAATGCTGTCCCTACCCTGCGCCCTGACCAACAGGTAGCCCCCAAGTCCCAGAGCGGTTGCACTTTGGGGGAGCAAAGTGGGATCGTCACAGGGCGTTACTGGGTCTTTCTCCATACATACTCCCCCACCCCCACCCCCAAGTGATGGTGTCTGATTCCTGGATCCGAGTGTCCTGGGACCAATTTAAAATGCATTTCCTGGACCATAAATCCGCAGGCAGGAGCCCGGTTCTCAGGTCTCCCGGACCGGAACGTGTGCGGCAAATGGCAGCAGACAAGTGCTGCTGGGGGAGGGAGGAGATTGCACAGGGTCCCGGCTAATTGCAGTGCCGCTGGAGAGAGACTCCGCCTGCAGGGAGACAGGAATTGCAAGCCAGGCAGTAGAGCCTGAGACTTAGCCCAAGGAAGAGGCGTGATCTGAAGTCTCCCAATCAACCAGGGGCCCAGCTCACACCACGTCCTGCCCTGTCGTTCCCATATTTGGCTAAACTAGCCGGTCCAGGACTCCCAGAGTTCAAGCTCAACTTTCCATCATGCGCTCGGCCAAAGCCCCCTGCCTGAAGCTCCGCCAGCCTGGAGAGGAGTCACCACCTTGTCCACTCTGCAAGTGGAGGGCCATTTAGGGAGTTTTCGGTTTTGCTTTGTGATTTGCAGTAACAATGATTCAATGCGCCTTCTGGTTGGTGTCTGCCTCCCTAAGCGACCTGGAAGGTTTCTCTAAATGCCTAGGGGTAGAATTGTTGGGCCAAGCACATCTTGGACTTAATAGAGGTTGGAGCAGTTTCCTTCCCTCCCTGCAGTGCCCCGAATTTCTGGCTCTCCGTGCCTGGCCACCCCTTGGTATTATGAGACTTCCTATTCTGTTTCCATTTATTTTCTTCTGTTAATCCTTTAAAAAAAAAAGATTTTATTTATTTATTCATGAGAGACACACAGAGAAAGAGAGAGAGAGAGGCAGAGGGAGAAGCAGGCTCCATGCAGGGAGCCTGACGTGGGACTCAATCCCAGGACTCCAGGATAATGCCCTGGGCCAAAGGCAGGCACTAAACCTCTGAGCCACCCAGGGATCCCCTCTTCTGTTAATCCTAAATAGATAGGAAATAGTGTCTCAGGGACTGTTTGGTATAAATGAAAAATTACATATTGTGAATGTGTAGACCAAAGGGCTGCAGATGCTCCTCACAAACAAAATTCAGGTTCCAATCCTGCCTCTGGAGCTGGCCAGCTGTGGGGTTTGGGCAGACACTTGCTACCTTTGTGCTCAGTTTTCTCATCTGTGAAATGAGCATCTACTAGCTGCTGTAAGATTACTGTGAAGATTCAAGGAGCTGACACCTGGGGCATGATGAGCACCGAAGAAGGGGAAGTGGCGCTGTCATCAGGAGTCCAGACCCTCAGCGGAGGTCATGGATTCCTACATGGGACACCTGCCCATTCCCCCCAAGCCTCACTGAAGTAAAATTGCCATTGCCTTGTACACTCTGCACTTTCTTTCTTCCATTTTATTTCCAACCCAGCTTTTGCTGATTCAGCAGCCCTTCCTCACACCAGTGGTGGATCACAATTGAGGTCTTGTTGGAACATGAGGACTTGAGGCTTCAAGCAGTCTCTGGTCAGCACCTTCTACCTCTGGCTAACCCTTCCCCTGGCAGCTCCAATAGACCCGTCCTCTGACCACTCCGAGCCGAACCCGCCTCCTCTCCCACGCATGGTCACATTAGCTTCAGCGCTGACAGGCTTTATTCTCCGAAATGCAGGTATTAGAGGCATTCATTTTGTACTATTTGGAAATCATTTTCCCATGAAGTATGGCTGGTGGTATTGATTTCATTTTGGAGGAAACTCTCTAAGGCTATAAACACAGTACAACCCAGCAATTTCAAAACAAAAACCAGAAGAAAAAAACAAAAAGCCATGGGGACGCCTGGGTGGCTCATTGGTTGAGTGTCATGCTCAGGGCATGATTCTGGAGTCCTGGGATCAAGTCCACCATCAGGCTTCCCACAGGGAGCCTGCTTCTCCCTCTGCCTATGTCTCTGCCTCTCTGTCTCTCATGAATAAATAAAATAAAAATCTTTTTTAAAAAACATTTAAAAAAAGCCATAGCATCATTCAGAATTTCATGGCTCTGTGCCTCAGGCTCTGGATGAGGACCTTGCCATAGTGACCTCACAGATACTCCTCAGGTGACCTGCACTTACATACTCACCTTTCGTAAGAACCGACTTGGAGACTGCCTCCGTAAAGTGGCCGGAGGAAGGGAACAGAATGACGGAGCAGGACTGCTGCCCAAGTCGACTGCTCATCCACCCTGGAAGCTCTCTGGCCTCCAGATGCAAGCACTGCCTCTCCCTTGCCTTCTATCTCTCCCCATGGCCCAGAAGTTTTCCGGTTTCAGACCCAGAAAGGCTCCTGGGTTCCCCAGATAAAGGACACCCCCCCTTTACATCTCCACAGAAGCCTGTTTACTTCCTTCAGACAACTGAGCAGCAGCTCACAGGTACTTGCTCATCTTCTTGTCATGTCTGCATTTACCCGATCACTGGATTGTCCCATTCTGTGTGCTCTCCTGCAACAGGACACCGACAAACCTATTGCTGCTGAGTGTAGCCAAGTGATACAACGTGGCTTTGAAGGTCAGGTAAATGGCAACAGAGTCTCTGCTCCTACTCTAAGATGCAGTGCTTAGAATCCAGTCACCATGCTATGGGGAAGCCCAAGCAGCCCATGGAAATGCACACAGGGAGAAAAACAGAGCTTCTAGCCCACATCACCAGCTGGATCCCCAGCCCACAGCCAGCACTGCTGACAGTTGCATGAGTGTACCATTTCCAAAGCAGATCCTCCAGCTCCCGGCAGGTCACCCTGGCTATTGCCACATGGAGCAGAGCCCCCACCCATGGAGCTTTCCTCACTGTGCCTTGTCATGATTTCAATTTTTAAAAATTGAGGTATAATGCCATACAACACCATATTAGTTTCAGGTGTACAACATAATGATTTAATATATGTATGCACTGCAAAATAGTCAACACCATAAGTCTAGGTAACACCCATCACCACACATAGTGACACAATTTTTTTCTTTTTTAAATATTTATTTATTCATTCATTCATTCATTCATGAGAAACACAGAGAGAGATAGAGAGAGAGGCAGAGACATAGGCAGAGGGAGAAGCAGGCTCCATGCAGGG